CGGTGACACGGACAGGACCCCCAGGTGGCACGGGCAGAACCTGGAGGTGGCTGCCTCCCCTCCCTTGGGCTGGGACACAGGCAGGGCTGGTGGCATTTTGGGAACAGGGATGAGGTGGCACGGGCAGGACCTCGAGGTGATCACCTTCCTGGGCCTGGGACACAGGCAAGGCTGGTGGCATTGTGGGGACAGGACCTCGAGGTGGCATGGGCAGGACCTCGAGGTGACCACGGGCAGGACCTCGAGTGACTGCCTCCCCTCCCCTGGGCCTGGGACACAGGCAAGGCTGGTGGCATTGTGGGGACAGGGATGAAGTGGCACAGGCAGGACCTTGAGTGGCCGCCTCCCTTGGGCTGGGACACAGGCAAAGCTGGCGGCGTTTTGGGGACAGGAATGAGGTGACACGGGGCAGCTCCTTGCTCAAATCTAAGCGTGACTCTCGTTGGGTTTGCAGTGATTTTGCTGCATTTGATGTGAAGCTAAGTGCCCCCCCGAGTGCTGGAGTTGTGTCTGTGACAGAGCTGTGGCACTGCCAGGGATGGGTCAGGTTCTGCTGCCCAGATCCGTGGCAGAAGCTGCTGCCACTCCCAGGCCTCAGCTGGCTCTTTCTTTGCAGCCACATAAGGAATTCTCCTTGCAATAGCAGCATTGTCATGGGCACAGGCATATTTTTCCCAGCTCCCTGAACCTCCTTCGGGGGAGAGAACCAGTACTCCCAGTATGGTGCCCAGGGCTTGCCTGGCCACGGGTCCTGGGGAGTCCTCTTGACTCACTTGGGACAGCACTGGTGAATTCTGAAGGCCTGGATGAGCTTCTCCTTTGATTTGCTGAGCTCCAGGTGCTCCTTGCTCAGGGCTGCCTTTGTGAAAGAAGCATGGAATAACAGAAATGTGCCACTTGTACCAGGGGGGTCTGAAAGGGTCACCTGGAAGCGTCACCCAGTGCTCTGGGGAAGCCTGACAGTTTCATCTGTATCTAGAGAGAAGCAGCAGAACAGGAGATGTAAGGGCTCTGCTGCAGCAGGAGAGAGGCACTTCCTCAAAATGCAGGGTGGTTTTTGGGTGGTTTTTGAGCACTGCCTGCAGGAAGTCAGGGCTGAGTGGTGCAGTTCAAAGGGTCAAGAAGTGGAGAAGGAAGGAGGAGGTCCTCAGCAGCTGGTAGCCCCTTTAATAGGGCAAAGATTCAGTCAGGCAATCTTCCTGGTTCTGTTTAAGGTATTGCTGTGCTCCTCTTCGGGCAGATCACTTCCCCTTTCAGCAGGGTGGGTGTTGGCTCTGGGCACCACAGGGGTGTGGGCTGATCCAGAGCTGGGTGTACCTGCACGGGAGCTCTTCTGTGCCCTCCCAGCCTGGCCTTGGAACCTGCCAGGGGAGCCTCAGTGGGGGGAAAGCTCAGACAGCCCCTCTGGGAGCTGGGTGCAAGCAGTGGGACCCCAGTGTAACACTGGTGCCTTTCATCACTCTGCTCCTCCTCCTCGGCACCGTGTGGCTGGGAGGGCGCTTTGTTATGTGCAGCTGGGGTATTTCTGTTTGTCTGGCATGTGCCTGTGCTGGGGTTTCTGCAGATCACAGAGCTGCACTCCTGCCTGCCTGCCTTTGTAATCCTGTTGGGGAGCAGGATTCTGGATTTCCAGGGGGATGTCAGAGTTCCTAAAGCATCTGGGCTCCCCTGGGCTTTGGCTGGAGTGGATGTGGCTGCAAGCAGGGGCCTCACAGGCAATCAGGCCATGCCTCCAGGGTCCCAAAAAGATTGCAGTGAGTCTCCAGTTGACTGTTTAGTCTGGGTCTGATCCAGAAGAGGAGTGCCACGGAAGGGATTTTCATCCTTGGCCTTGAGGTGCTTTGTTTTCTGCAGCACTGAAGGGCAGTTCCTGTCCTCTGTATCTGCCCTGGCTGTGTTCTGATTCAATGCTGGAGCGAGCCACAGGGTGATGGCAGTGCTGTGTTGCCTTACAGGGTGATGGCAGTGCTGTGTTACCACACGAGTGATGGACTGAGCTCTCTGAGCGTGGTCTGTGCTCCCCAGCACAGCACTGTGGGGGCTGCCTTGTACCTTGTGGCCTCTGTGGAGGCTGACTAGGACATGGATTGCAGTGCTTGGGGGGTGGGATAGCCTCTGATTTGTGCCACATTTCTGGCAGATGTCTGCAGGCTGTCAGCAGCTCCCAATGTGTGTGAGTGATCCAAGGCAACTCTTGCTGGGGAACAGCCTCCTCAACCTGTCTCAAGGCTGGAGAAGGCTTTTGCTCCTTCTCTGGATTTGCTGGGAGGAAGGAATCCTCAAGCACTGCAGGCTCTCTGTGGGGCTGTGGGCTCTGCAGCAACAAGCCCTGGGGCTGGGCAGCACCCTGTGAGCAGCCCAGCTTGGCAGCAGCACCCAGCAAAGCTTGGCACATCCCTGGACATGTTAATCCTTCTCACCTTGCTGCTGAGAGGGTTTGCCTCAAGCAATGCTCATGTCCAGATCACAGCAGTAAGCTGACTCTGCTAAGTGGCAGCTGTCAGCATGCTCTGGTGTGCTGGATAAACAGGGCTGTGATGAATGAATGACCTGGCAGGATCCTGGCAGCTGCAGAGGCAGCACTTGGTGTAAATCATCTCCTTGGTGTTTATGGCCTGAACTCAGAGCAGTGCAGGCTGGCAGCAGGAAGCCTGCAGAGCTGAGTGTGCTGCTCACCTCTGGGAGAGTGGCTGAAGCACCCTGGGTTTGCTTTGGGTTCCTGAGTGCTGCTGCTGCCCCCGTGGCAGATCTCAGCTGCCAAACCTGCCCGGGCTCAGTGCCCTCCTCTGCTCCCTGCAGGCTGAGGCTGAGGTGGCATCTTTGAATCGCCGGATCCAGCTGGTGGAGGAGGAGTTGGACCGAGCTCAGGAGCGCCTTGCCACAGCTCTGCAGAAGCTGGAAGAGGCAGAGAAGGCAGCAGATGAGAGTGAAAGGTGAGCAAGGACTCCTGCTTGCACTCTGTCAGACACTGAGGGTCTGGTGCCATCAACTTTTTGAGCTTCTCAGAGTGGGGAAGGAGATCCCACACCAAGGCTTGAGGGAGTCAGTGCCTGCTTAGGCAGAGCAGCTAAACCAGTGCTGATGAACCTGAGGCTGCTGATGGCCTTGATTGTCCTGGAACCTGAGGCTGGGGAGTGAGGAAGTGCCACCATGCATCCCCTCTTCCAAAAGAGGAGAAATACACGGGGTCAGGGACACCACTGCCTTGTAAAGGTGGCTGTGGGTGGGGCAGCCTCTCTGCCAGCATCCTCCCTAACTGGCAGATGTCCCCTGACCTGTGATTCAGAGGGGAGTGGCCCACTTCCAGCTGTCTGATGTGCTTCCTCCTGCACACACCGTGAGCAGCCTGCCCCAGCTGCTGGCCTGCCACAGAGAGACTTGGCTCTTCCTTCATTCCAGATGGGGAAGTGCTTGACTTGGCTGGGAGTCCCTAAGAAAGCTGGGCTTGTTCTCAGCAGCACTGCACGCCCCTTGGCCTGGCAACCCAGTGATCTGCTGGGGGAATGTTCCACAGAACAGTTAACTCCAAGCAATTGAGGTGGCTGTATTCACATCAGCCCAGAGGCCTCTGCCTTCTGCATTCAGAGGAATCATGGTTTATTGAGAAGCACTGTGCTTCCAGGGACTGCTGTTAATTCTCTGCAACTCATTGCACTGCTGCCTTGTCCAAGATGGTTTCACACATCTCCCCTCCTTGTGCTTGCTTTTGGGCAGAGGCATGAAAGTCATTGAAAACAGAGCTCTGAAGGATGAGGAGAAGATGGAACTGCAGGAGATCCAGCTCAAGGAAGCCAAGCACATTGCAGAGGAGGCAGACAGAAAGTATGAGGAGGTGAGACCCTTGGGTGCTCTGTACAACTGACCTGGGCCAGGAGACTTGAATCCTCCTCCTGCTGACAGCAAATCTGGCTCTCAGCAGAGCCTCATCAATGCTCTGCTTGGCCAAAAGCTTCCCACAGCTCCAGTGGCTCCTGCAGGCGTTCCTCCCTTCACTCTGCAGAGCCTGCAAGCACAAAACTCATCCTTGCTCTTGACTCTGGTTGTCCTTTCCAGGTTGCTCGGAAGCTGGTGATCATTGAGGGGGATCTGGAGCGCACTGAGGAGAGAGCTGAGCTCGCAGAGTCGTGAGTAGTCTGCTTGCATGTACCTGCCAGGTCTGCCTCTGCATGGGCACTAACACTGCATTGCTAACCTTGTTACACAAGGCCTGAAGCACAGGGTGGGTGTAGGGCTGCAAAGGAAAGCAGTGAAAGCGCTTCCCTCCACAAAACAGGATTAGTTCCACCTAGGACATGGAGTTTGTGGTGTGATTTGCCTTGGGTGGAGACACTCTGGGCCTTTGCATGGAGTCACTCCCTAGTTGTGGAGGCTGCAGAGCCTTCCTGTGCTCAGCAATCACAGCACTGCTTTGTGTGTGCAGTCACAAGATGGTTCACAGTGCTTGTACTGAAGTGTCAGAGGCCTCTAGGCCAGGGCCTGAAGTGCCATATTTGGTGGCCAAGGGCAGAGCTGTGGCTGAGGCTGCTCTCTGGGCCTCTCCAAGGATTTGCAGTAATACCACCACACCACTACAGGCTTCTGCACTGCTGAGCAGAAATCTGGGCTTCCTCTGCTCAGAGCAGAGACACAAATCCTGGTGTTTGGGCTCCTTTCATGTGTCCAAGTGCTTTAGCTGATCCTTGAGGAGCTGGTCAGGGCCTTTCTGTGCTCTGGGCCTTGTCTAACACAGTTGGTGTGTATGCAGCAGCAGCACTGTGCTTCCCGCCCAGATGTGCATGTTGTGACCATGACTTTTTTGTGTTTCCCTTCCCCACCCTTTTTGGCTCTGTGGTGGTGTGGTTCTGGTGCTCCTTTTGACCTTGCCCCCACCTGGCTTGTGCCCCTGTGTGACCGTCACTAACAGTCATTGCCGGGAGCTGCGGGAGCAGATCAGAGTGATGGACCAGAACTTGAGGTGTCTGTCTGTTGCCGAAGAAAAGGTACTAACCTTTCCCTTCTTGAACCATTAAACCGAAAACTCATGTGGTCTCCTCACTATGCTCCTCCCCTCAGCTTAACTGCGTCTCTCTCTCGCTCTCTCCTGGAACATTCTGTCTTCTCTGCCCATAAATGTCCCTTTTTCAGTGGTGGTGGCTGTCCTTCTGTCCATCAGAACAGCTTCCCTCCATACAGCACACTAAAAGTGAAGCTTCTCCTTGAAGACTCCAAGTCTGGCAGAAACCTGTGTCCACATCTCGCTGCTCAGCTCTGTGCCCCGTGCATGTGCTGGCAGAATATTCCAAACATGAGCTCAGAGGCAAAAAGGGAACTTGCTTTCTGCGCAGGTGCCTCAAAGCAGGGTCCTGTCCAGTCTGATCTCAGACAGTCCCCTAAAGAACTTCCTGATCTTCCCTGCACGTGGATTCACTTCTTGTCTCCTGTCTTTCCCTCCCACTTCTTCTTTTCCTTTTTTTTCTCCCCTTTCCTTACAAAACCCCACAGTAAATGTTCCGAGCTGGAGGAGGAGCTGAAGAATGTCACCAACAATCTCAAGTCTCTTGAGGCTCAGGCTGAGAAGGTAGGGCTGCCTGTCCCAGGGCCAGAAACATTGCTGTTGTGCTAGGAGGGTAAACAGCAGAGCACCCACTGAGGTGGAAATGATTCAACTGCAGTCTTAAACAAGCCAGGAGTGCTGTGCTTGCTCTGCTGGGAGGGCTGAGGTATTTATTTCATTGGAGGGCTTGGAAACTGGGGTGGGGGAAGCCTGGCTGCCCTTCCCTGCCTTGGGGCAGACTCAATCGGCCAGGGTGTTTAAGCTGCTAAAATGTTAAGATGAGAATTTTTCTGCATCCAAGTTTGTGTTCCATGCATGGTGTGAGACTTGCCACCTGCCCCAGTCCTGTTGGGCTTGGGTGAGGATGTGAACAACTCCCAGGTGGAAGGTTTCTGTTGTCATGTGTACTGCAGTGAGGAGTTGATGCTGCCCTCTGTAGTTGTGGGCTCTCTGGAGAGGGAGGTATCTGGGGCTGCTGACTGCTGACTCCTTTTCCACAGTACTCTCAAAAAGAGGATAAATATGAAGAAGAGATCAAGATTCTGACTGATAAACTCAAAGAGGTGAGTGACCATGTCAGGATGGCCTGGTTGGGTGAGCTTGACTGGGAAGAGATGCAAAGTCCATGTCCTTGGACTGGTCCCTTTCCTGTAGAGCTGTTGCACTCACTGGTTTATTTCTGTCTGGCAGGCAGAGACCCGTGCTGAGTTCGCTGAACGCTCTGTAGCCAAGCTGGAGAAGACCATTGATGATCTGGAAGGTACATTCTGGGGCTAGGAAACCAAGCAATGGGTGTTGAGTGAGAAGCTGAGGAGGGCTGTGTCTCAGGTAGCTGCTGTGCTCCTCCTTGCTTGGAGCATTTTCCCACTTGGCCTCCAAGGTGAGGCTTGGCAAGAGCCCTGCTCTGAAAACAGTTCCCCTGTGCTGCAGCAGCTCTCAAGCTCTTGATCCAGACACCTGGCCTTATCTAGATAGCTTCTGTATGTTGGTAGTGATGTCCTCAGGAATGTAGCCAGATCCCTGTGCCCCAGCTTAATCCAATTCTTGTAGGAGTGGCACAGGAAAGAAACACTTGTAAGAATTGGTCACAATAACATACTTGTGTGCACAGCATCATGCACATGCTGGCTGCTGCAGATGGGGTCTTGCAGGAGTCAGTGAGTCTGAAACAGCCCCCATGAAGCCTCAGACTGCCCAGTGTGAGTCCTGAGCCAAGGTTGAATCCCCAGCAGTTCAGCCCACGGGGTAGTCAGCCTGTGCCAAGGGTGGGTTCCTTTCCTCCTCCCATTCCTTCACACAGTCCTTCAGGAGCACTCCTGAGGCCAGCCATTGCAGAACCTTGCCCCAAGCCACAGGAGGAGAAGGTTTCAGCTGCCTCCCTTAAATCTGGGAGTGTGGCCAGATTCTTTTGTGGATTGCTGTGGCTGGAGTGGTGGTGCTGGTAAACCAAAACCCTTACAGGTCTCTTACCTTGACCACAGGTGTGCCTTTGTGGTCTTTTAGTGCTAGCTCTTGGAGATACAAAGCATTATCCTGCTGTCTGGAGTCACTCTGGAGGTTTATTATCTAGAAATAGCAATGGTGTCAGCTGAACTGTTCCAGAACTGCAGCCAAGCAGCAATCTGAGCCACCTCATGGTGCAGGACAAGCTTTTATTTGGAACTGCAAAAAGTCCTCCAAATCCCTGCACGCTCCCCTTGAAACCTGTTGATTGAGAGTTGGCTCTGGTCTACAGCCTTGCTGCTGAGGTGACCTAGTTCATGACAAATGACAAAGTTCCCCAGGCTCTGGGAGGCTCTTAACAGCATGCCCAGCTGTACTGCAGCCCAGCTGCCAGAGCTGGAGCTGTCTGTGCCAGCTCTGCAGGGCTCAGGGATGTGTCAGCACAGTCCCAGGCCCACCCCTCCCTGCAGGCACAGAGCTGCCTGTCTGCTCCATTATCTGATGGAGAGCACTGGTGTGGCCAGTCTGCTCCCCCACCTCACTGCATCCTGCAGCACTGGAGTTTCCTCTGATGCCCAGCTCCATGACATGACTGACTGCTCCCAAGCCAGTCTTTGCATTGAGACACAGGTGAAAACAAGGCACCTCAATTATCAGTGCTCTCCTTAGGTGTAACAAGCTTCTCCCTGAGTGGATGGAGTTGCCTTTTCCTGCTGCTCCTCCTGACCCTGGTTCCTGCTGACCTAGCTGGACAGCTTGTTTTTACAAAGTGATGTGGTTGAGTGCTTGGATCTGCTGCCCTTGGAGCTGGATTGTAATCCTGGAAGGCACTTGTGGGTCACTTGGGTCCTCAGGCTGCTGGAACCCTCCTGTTCATTGTTGGGGATGAACACAGAGTCGTGATGGCTCCACGTGTAACTTCATTTTCTTCAGTTCATGTACACCAGTGTGCCTTTCCCACCCCGGAGTGTTGGAAGAACTCTTTGCCTTCCCTCATTGTTTTCCTTTTGTTCTCCTCCTAAACCTCTTCTAGATGAGCTCTATGCCCAGAAACTGAAGTACAAAGCAATTAGTGAGGAACTGGACCACGCCCTGAATGACATGACTTCCATGTAAATATGAGCTGGCTCTCGCTTCAGCAGCCTGGACTGCCAGTGCTTGCTTGGTTTGCTGTGGTTTCTGTAGTTGGAGAATTGTCCAGGTTACTTCTACAGATCTGCCCAAGGAGCCCCAGCATGCCATCCTCTAACTCTAGGTCCTGGTGGTCTGCATGTGTAACCAAGTGCTGTGCTGGCCTGAAAGGGTTCTGACTTAAATTTGAGTGCAATTCCCATTCCCACTGGGAAGGGCTTTCTCAGGAAATGTGGCTTTGTCATCTGCTGGAGCCACTGGGCCATGGTCTCAGGATTCCTTCTGGAAGAGGCTGTGGATAGTGCTCAGGTGGATTCCTTAGGAATTGCCACAATAGGCTTGAGATGGGCCAGATCATGAACTGATCTGTGGAAGTAGCTGAACTTGTGTGTTTCTGCAACTTTGCTCCTTAGCTTTGTTCAGATCTGCAGTGGGTGCTGCTAACAACTGCTCCATGTGGTCCTTGCACTAACCCAGGAGAGGCCAGGTCCTCACCCCACAGAGAAGAGCCTTAACACGAGTGTCCCAACGTTCCCTAAGCAGAGTTTGCTGTGCACAAACACCGAGGCTTTCCTTAAAATTAGTGTCTCCTTCTGTCTCACACAGATAAGTCTTGTGGTTCCAAACTCCACTTTGGATTTGTCTTTCTGCTTGGTGGCTTGTTCTGCATCTGCACCCGGCATTCACGCTCTCTTCATCTCACTCTGAATTCCAGTACCTTTTTCCAGTTACTGTGCACAGGGCATCCCTGGGAATGGGTGCTGTACAGACACAGAGGCAGCAGCCCCCCAGTTCTGCTGCACTTGCTCCCAAACAAAGCTCCCTCTGTGTGACCTGATGTGCCAGACACAGCCTGCTCTGAGGGGCTGCCCTTTCTGTGCTGGGGGAGCGGGGAGGATGTTGTTCTCATCTGCATATCTTGTGTGGAGCCATAAAAAGCTCTTTTTGTATTTCTCTTGCCTCTTGCTCGAGCATGATGTCACCTTTTTTAAGGAAAACAGTTCCTGTATAAATGGCTGTTGCTTTGGAGAAATGGGTTTCTAGTGACCACTTGCTGCTTTAGAGTAACTGTCTCGGCATTGCCTTCAAACTGGAGTCACTCTCAGTGGAGCACAGACCTCACTTGCACGCTGGATTTTTCTTTGAGGTGTGTCCCTGGCTCCCAGATGTGATGGCAGCTTTGCAGACAGGGTCAAACTGGAGGCTGGGGGTTGCAGCAGGAGGCCCTGGAGCTGTGCCTGACTGAAGACACTCCTCATTCCTGCCTGCTTTGGAGTGCTCAGCAGCACTGGTTGCCAAGCACTGGCTTGCAGTGGGAGGTCCCACACCTGATAGTCGTTAGCCAGGGTTTGGAAGCCAATAAATACTGTGTGAGCTCTGGCTGGTCTCACTGGGGTACAACTGGGTGTGAGGTGCTGCCTGTGCCAAGGGCAAGGATGTGTGGCCTCTTGCTTCAGGAATGAGCAGGGCTGTGAGCATCTGAGCCAGGGAATCTTTTGCAGAGCCCTTCCCTCCCCACACAGGGGCTGGGGGCTGCAGGATCCTTCTAGAAATGTGGCATGGAGCTTCCCACAGAGCACTGGCACTGGGCTGTGAGTGCCTGCTGTGTGTCACTGCTGGAGCTGTTGCTGGTTGATGTGGTATGATAAACACTGCTCACAAAACAGTGTGTGCTGCCTCATGGTGGTTGGTCAAATACTTTTTCCTTTCTGGATCTGTTCATCTGCCCCAGTGCCCGAAGAGCCCTCCGTGAGCAGAGTTCTGGTGACATGGCACACTTCCCGTGGCTTCCTCAGGTTTGTGCCCTTCTGCTCTCCACGTGACAGCACTGGCACTCAGGATAATCCAGGCACACTCACCTGCCCCAGCCTGTCGCACTCTGCTTTGGTGGCAGGTGGGGAAGGGAGGGAGCGTTCAAGGGATCTCAAAGTGGGGGATGTTGGACTGTGCCCCTTGAGCACAAAGCAGGAACCCAGAGCTCTTCAGTAACCCCACTGCAGCTGAGTTGAGGATCTGGATCCTGTGGGAGGGCAGGGCTTCTGTAAATGTGAAGGTTTCCAGTCCAGTGTTCCCCTGTCAGCTCTTAAGACAACAGGGACACCATGACTGTCTGCCAGTATCAAAGGGAGGGTGTCAGAGGAGGGACCAGGTTCTGCTCAGTGGTGCCCAGCAGTAGGACAGGCAAACATGGAAACTGATGCCCAGAAGTCCCACCTGAACATGAGGAACAATTTATTTCCTGTGTTGGTAACTGAGCCCTGAACAGATTGCCCAGATACCGTGTGAAGTCTCCCTCACTCGAGATATTCCAGAATAATTGGACACAATCCTGTGCCAAGTGCTCTGGGGTGACCCTGCTTGAGCAGGGAGGTTGGACCAGACCCACAGTGGTCCCTTCCAACCTCACCCCTTGTGTGGTTGTCAGTGCTGGGAGGTGGCAGCTCACACCTCACAGGGAGGTCTGGTGGCACCCTGATTCTTGCTGTGGGGAGCTGCTGCCTCTGCTCTGCTCACTGGTGTTCCCAGGAATGTTATCTAAGCCTGGGCTGTGGCACTTTCCCCACTCACCCAGAAGGAATCCCAGGCTCTGGGTGGTGGATGGGGATGTGGGTGGGTGATGCAATGGTTACCCTGGGAGGTTTTGGAGGCATCTGGTCGGACTGGATTGCTGGGCCTGTGCAGGCTGGTTCCTGGCAGCTGTGCTGTGCTGTGGGGGTGCTGCAAACTCAGGTTAACTGACCAGGAGGGGCAGCTCCTGGGGCTCCCCACGTCCTGGGGCTGCCCTGGGGATGGGCAGGGAAAGGAGCAGCCCAAACATGGCGTGGCTGCTGCAGACATGGGCAGGTGTTCCCTGTGCAGAAGCTGTTCCTGAAGTGTGGGAAGTTCAGTCATGCTAAACACTCCAGTCTGCTGCCTTGTGTGGGTGAATCATCAGCTCCCTGCACACAAGCAGGAATGTTTGCTTGAAGCTGGAGCTGTTGCTCCAAGTTCTGCTGAAAACAGTTCACTCTCATCCTCTGCCACTGGGGAGACCCAGGACCAGCCTGGATCTCTCAGGTTTGGGCACAGACATTGGGGCTGCTCAGAGCACCATGGAGCCAGAATCCCTCACAGCAGCAACAGCAGCTGTTGTGCAAGGCATGGGCCAGGATGTACCCACAACTTCCCTCAATTTCTCCATTGTGGTAGGTCAGAAATCATTGGCTTCTCTGCCTGTGCTTCCCTTGGTGGCTTTAAAGAGGGACAATCAATCAGCATTGCTGCCCTCTCCTGCAGAGTGAGGTACGGTTAAAGGGTCCTGAGGGCTGAGAGAAGCTGAGAGTGAAGCTGAAGTTGAGCTTTCCCCTCTGTATGCAGGTGTTACACTGGAGGGACTGAGCTGAGACTCTGGGGAGGGTGATGTGCTTTGGCTGCTCCATGTAAACCACTCCACTTTCTGGAATTTTACCCAGCTAGGTCTTGTTCAAGAGTAAAATATTCTGAGATTGAAAGCAATGAGGAATGGTGTAGGTCCCCTTCAGGGGGTGCCTGTCACTCTTGCACTGAGCATGACACAGGAACAGGCAGGAGGCAGGATTGTAGAAAGAGCAAAGAAAGTTTTATTCAAGGTTTTATTTTATTTATTAAATAGATATGGCAGATTCTGTTTGATTGGCTAACTAACAAAAACATCTTCCTCACACACTGTCTTTGAGAAGAACAGAAAGATGAAGTAGAAAAACACCACCTGCAGATTGTTTATACTTAAAAAGTTACCACATCCTTATAAACTCCCTAAAAATTCTCACAAGCCACTGTGAGAAACAGTGTTTGTGTCTCTCTGTCTGTCCCATGGCATCCACAGGTGCCTGAGAGTTTCAGGACCTCACAGTACAGAGATTAGAGGGAAGACCAAGGCCAAGGCTGTGCTCTGGGCTCACTCTCCAGCAGAGGCATCACACTGGTGTCACTGCAGGTGGTGCTGGTCACTTCTGCCAGGCTGGAAGATGATGTGTAAGGTTTTTTTTCCTGCCTGCAATTCCCCAAAGTGCAGGAATCGGAGCTGTCAGGCTGGGAGGACTCTGCCATGCAAATGAGCGGGAGGGATGCTGAATGTGTTCTCTGTAGTGGCTGGTTGTGGCAGGACATTGCCACCCAGCCCTGGGAAGTGACAGATGTGGAAAGGGACCAAGCATGATGATGAGTGTGAGTGTGGCTGCTGGAACCTCTGTGGGGCTCTGAGGACAGAGCTCTGAAGGATGAGGAATGCCACAAATGCAGTGGCAGCTTGTGCCCTGCTCATGGAGCTGTTCTGGGGCAGATGTAAAACAGGACTCTGCTCCAAAGTCCCTCTGTCCTGTACCTGCACAGTTGCTGCCTCCAGTCCTAGCTGGGTTGTTAGTGTGGCACCAGGCATGTTCTCAGAGGAGGGTCCTCCAGGCCAGGGATGTTTTCACTCTCAGTTCTTTCGGTGTGCCTGTCCTGCTGTTCACACCCTGTCATTCCCACTGCAGTGAGGTGTGGCTCCCTCTGGAAGCTGGTTCTGGTACAGCTGTGGCAGGACTCGTTTCTGCAGTGTGCTCCACACTTCAAGCACATCCCACATCTCTGTCCTTGCTGGGGCCCTGCCTGCAGGCTCCTCTTGTGGTGTCTCTTCTTCCTTTCTTTGCCTTTGCACATCTTGGGCAGCACGTTCACTTGGGGAGCACGTTCTGCCCACACTTGGCTTCCTCTGATCTTCCTGGGCTGAAGCACAAGTTAGAGAGAGGCAAACCTTTGGGAATAGCTGGCTGTCCTCAGAAGCACACACTGTGGAGACAGCTTGTTTGATGTGCTCCTCCTGGTGCTCTACTAACCCTCCCTTTCTCTCTTTTTCTCTCTTCCTCTTGTTTCCCTCATCCTGTCGCTGCTGCAGAGCGCCTGTACAGCCAGCTTGAGAAAAACCGCCTGCTCTCTAACGAGCTGAAGTTAATGCTGCATGATCTGTGTGACTGAGAAGGGGCCCACTAATCCCATTAACAGCTCATTGCCACCACCACTGCTGTGGACCACACTGAAATCTGATCATTAACACTGGCAGGCTTGCCAGTTTTATGCAATTGCTGCTTTTTAATGAGGCACTTGGATTTATCCTGTAATTTATTTAAGCTTTTTTTAATACATAAAGGTAACTTCTATTCTTGGTGAAGTCACCCCCAGACCTGGCTGTGTTTTAGCCAGTCTTGTTTGCTTGTCCAGGGGGTCCTGCCTGGCTCCTCCGTGGAACCAGAATTGCTGCACCCCCAAATGAGGGTGGGCTGAAGTTAGGCTTATGTCTGCTTGAAGCTGCCTGTCAAGTGCTACAACCTAATTTACTGTTAGCTGAATGACTGTAGGATTTCCTGGTGCATGGAATGATGGCTTCTACCAATAAAGGATTGACCTTGTGGTCTGTGAGACACTGCACACCTGTAGTATGTTCCTATTTAGGGGATCCTGAGAAGTTTTGGGGGCAGCAGTAATTTCCCAGGCCTGACCCCAGTGCAGCTGGAATGGGCTGGGAAAGCTCACAGACATCTTGACAGCCAAAATGCACAGCCTGAAGCTGTGTCCTGGGTGCCTGCAGGGAGTATTGAAATGCTGCTGCTGTTGCTCATGCTCGAGGAGGGCTGTTCTCTCTCTCTGTGCAGTTTCTGGCCCTGGGGAGGTTGGGAGTGGCTTTGGCAACCTGCCTGTACCTAAAGGACATTTTTCCACAGCCTGTCTGCCCAGTGTCCCAGCGTGTGGATGTCTCCAGTGATATGGGTGGGCTCACCTTTGGAATAAAGCCTACTTAGAGCACTAGCTGCTGATCTGCTCTCCTCCTGGCTTAAGGAACATGTGAGAATCGACTGCACAGCTGCCTGCAGTGTTGGGCAGGGTGCAGCTCCCTCACTGCTCACTCTGCCTTGGGGCTGCTGGTCTGCTCCCTGCTGCTGCCCTGTGCTGAGGGGAAGGGGGGCACAACCAGCTGGAGTTCCAGGGGTGTTTTTGCTCTCGGGTGCCTTGCTGGGCCAGTGTGTGTGTGTCAGCTGTGGAGGTGTGGAGCCCTGGGAGGAGCTGGCTGCACTCAGAGACGCCTGCATGTGAAACACTGCCCAGAGCTCTGGCTAAAGGTGCACCGTGGCCATTGTGGGAGCACCAGCAGTGTGAGAGGCGAGGGCTACACTGAGCCAGGTAACCTCAAAAGCTTCCAGCTGCACCCAGCCAGGCACTCCAGCCCCAGGATCGCTGCAGCTGTGTGGGGAAGGGGCTGGCACAAGCTTTCTTTGGCAAAGGACTCTCCCTTCCTTGTCTGGTTTGTAACTCTGGACTCTTGTTCTTGGCAGATAAACTGAAATCCACCAAAGAGGAGCATCTCTGCACGCAAAGAATGCTGGACCAGACCCTGCTAGACCTGAATGAGATGTAAAGGATCCCTGCCACTGCCTGTGCCATGCGGTGCCAGCCCAGCTGCTGCTGCCCTCTAACCCTGGCACCAGAGTTTACTTTCTGTTGCCAACCTGACCAAACACAAATCTCCTTAGTTCCAGGGTTAAAGGCCACCAGGTTGGGCAGAGCTTCAAACAGCATCATTAAGGGAAGTAAACAATGCAATAATGTTTGGAGAGCATGTTTGAGATGTACACATTTTGTAACTACCTTTTTTTGTAGCGACCATTACAAACATTCCAAATAACGTGTGAGGCTGGTGAGCTACACTTCAGAGCTCTTGGCTTTAGAATTTGGTATTAATCTTCTATGAATTGGCTCTGGGCCACCCTGCTTTGGCAGGGCAGGAAACAGATATGATGGTTCTGGCTGTGAGTCAGAGTAGCCAGGCTAGGATGACAGCCTGTTGAGAGAACTTCCTTTTCCAGGAGCTGTTTGCCAAAAGCACAGTTCAGTTTTCAGCTTTAAGGTAGCTCTATGTTGGAAAGGAACAACTTGGGTGAAAGGTGTCCCTTTTTTGGGGGTTGTTTTTTTTTTCTTAAGCCAAGCCAGTCATCTGAACAATTGAACCTTCACAGGGATTGTGTCCCTTCCCCTCCACACCTGAAGGGCTTAGAGAAGCCACTGTCCCTGTAACCCATTGCTACCCTGGAGCTGACTTTGCCTTCACTAAGTGCTGATGCACCAAGCTTCACTGCTCATCACTGGGTTACACTTAACAACTTAAGTACAACAGCCTTGTGTCCTTGGAGAAGTGTTTTTGCCTACCTGGAGGGAGGGAGCCAAGCCTTTCCTCCTGCCCAGGACTGCTCTTAATTGTCTTAATTGATTCCAAGCCATCTCTGTGTGCATTGCTGATGTGTTGTGTTGTGAGGTGTGAGTGTGGCACTGCCATGCTCGCAGTAACTTGTGGTTGGAGCATGCTGCCTGGTTGTAGCAGTTTTTGGGGCCAATCTGGAGACAAAAAAACATATCCAGTGTTTTGATACTAAATTGAAAAAATTGTGTTACTGTCTTTTGAAATAAAAACTGATCCCTCCACATGGCTGCTGGCTGCTGAGCTTTACTGTGTGGGCTTGTGGGGGATGAAGACTGTTGTCATGTTATTGCCAAAGTTCCATACCCTCTTGGTGATTTCTCATGGTCATCTCCTCACAGCACTGATTCCTTCTTCATAGCACCACCAACAAACTCCAGCTCCATTCTCAACCGGCCAACCCACTCTTTTATAGCACTGATCCTCACTGGACACAGCTGTGGCCTGTTAAGGGCAGGCCTGTTCCTAATCTTTGGGAATCAGTACAGCTGCAACTCCTCAGGGGTGAGATTGCCTTCTGCACTATCTTTATTTTCTTACATTCTATCCCCCCAGGAGATTGGTGTCTGTGTCCATCCCTTGGGGTGGGACCAGGCACAGGTAAGGAGCACTTCCCAGGGCAGGAGTGCAAAAACAGAACTGATGAGTTCCTCAGTCAGTTTGGAGCCCACTGAGTTGGGTGGAAGTGTTAATCTGCTGGAGGGCTCTGCAGAGCCTGGATCCAGTAGTGCTACAGTCAACAAAGTGCCAGGTACTGTCTTTGGGTCACCACAACCTGCTGCAGTGCTCCAGGCTTAGGGAAAAGTGGCTGCAGAGCTGGAAAACAACCTGGGAGTGCTGGTTGGCAGCAGCTGCACATGAGCTGGTGTGTGCCCAGCCAAGGGCACCTGGCTGGTACCAGGCATGGTGTGGCACTGGGACCAGCAGTGCCCATCCCCTGTGCTGGGCACTGCTGAGGAACCACAAACCCTGGGGTCACTTTTGGGTCCCTCATGACAAGAAAGACCTTGAGGGGCTGGAGTGCATCCAGAGACAAGAACAGAGCTGGAGAGGGGCTGGAGCACCAGGAGTAGCTGAGGGGTCTTATCCTGGAGAAAAGGAGGCTCAGGGGGGTCCTTGTGGGTCTGCACAGCTCCTGCCAGGAGGGGACAACCAGGAGGGCTCCGGCTCTGCTCCCAGGGAACAGGGACAGGACAAGAGGAAAGGGCCTCAGGTTGTGCCAGGGGAGGTTTAGATTGGATATTGAGAAAATTTCTTCACTGGAAAGGGTCCAGCCCTGCCCCATCCATCCTGGCTTTGAACACTTCCAGGGATGGGGTAGTCACAGCTGCTCTGGGCAATCTGTGCCAGGGTTTCACCACTCTCACAAGGAAAAATTTCTTCCCAATATCCCTGTATTGGATTTGCATAGCCTGGTTTTTGGTAGCAGGGGGGGCACAGAGGTGGCTCCTGTGGGAAGCTGCTGGAAGTTTCCACCGTGTCCAGCAGAGTCAATCCCTGCTGAAGAATCCTCTGAAGATGGACAGGCTGCTGGCCAAGGCTGGGCCAATGAGAGAGGCTGGTAAGGCCTCTGTGACGACATCTTTAAGTATTAAATACTTGGCAGCAGTTTGGGGGGGAATTCACCTTGCAGCAGTTTGGGAGGGCTGTGTGCCCATGGGGAGAATTCACCAGCAGGGCTGCTGCTCACAAGAGCAGACTCATGCTGAAGAAGTTCCTCACAGGGGAAGGACTCCTCTCCCTGAGCAGAAGAAGAACTTGGCTGATGAACTGACCCCAAACCCCCCATGCCCTGTTTCCCTGCACTGCCAGTGGGAAGGAGGGAGGGGCTGGGGGGAAGAAGGTGTTTTAAGGGCTTATTTCACCTCTCATTATCCTCCTCTAATTCTGTCAGTAATAAATTCACTTTGCAACCCTAAGCTGAGCCTGTTTTGCCCTTGAAGTGTTTTCTCCCAATCCTTATCTCAATTCATTCAACCCTATATTATTTTTTTTTCCTCTCCTCTACCCAGCTGTGGCAAGGGAGGGTGAACCAGTGACTTTCCTGGGTGCCTGGTGTTGGGCAGTGCCAAACCATGGCAATCCCATCTAGCCCTGCCCTCTGGCAGTGGGAATCCATTCCCCCTCATCCTGGCACTCCAGGCCCTTGTCCAAAGCTCCTCTCCAGCTTTGCTGGAGCCCCTTCAGGCACTGGAAAGCTGCATTTTGCTGAGCTGGGGAAGGTTTGGAGAGCAGAAGGGACCATCTTGAAAAAAACCCAAATCTTGAGCTCTGGGTTTTCCCACGGGGGAATGGGCATGGCTGTGAGGCAGGAAGCTCTCACCTGGTTCAGTGGCCTGGCAGTCCAAGAGGCTGCTGCAAATCTAACAGGAGTGGGGCTGAGGGGCTGCTGTGCTGCCTGGTGTCAACACCAAAACCTGGAGCTGAGGCACCATCAGCTGAGGGACAGTCAGAATGAAAAAAAGGCTTTTTACAGAATTAAAACTTGCCCTTAAACATGATGACTTTGAACACTGCTGTCCTCTGTTATGGCACCTTGAGGGTCTCGTGTTCTGCAGAGGTTGGGCAGTGAGGGTGGGCAGTGGGGCTGGCACTGCACCCTCCTCTCTTTGCTCATCAGAGCCCCCTGACACAGAGCTCCAGCTGGATCTGATCTCCCAGTGTGTCCCCATCCTCCTTCCTAGCTGTGACCAATCTGATTTGTAGTAAAAGAGACTGTAAAGGTAAACAGGACATTTTGGAGCCTGATTCCAAGTTTCTCCAAATGCTTCAACTTCCCTGAGTCGTTTCTTGGGTGCTCTGAGGATATCCCTATTTGTAGCCATGATATTTTCTGAAAAATCACTTTGCCAGGATTTTCTCCTGAGAATCTGAAAGGCCTCAGGAACAACATGTAAACATTGATTATCTGCTGCTGTGGAATGCAACAGGTGGATCTATGATTGCTTTCATGTGGTTGTTTCTAATTAATGGCCAATCACATTTAGCTGTCTCAGACTGTGGTCAGTCACAAGATTTTATTATCATTCTTCTATTCCTTTCAAGCCTTCTGATGAAATCCTTTCTTCTATTCTTTTAGTATAGTTTTAATATAATATATACATCATAAAATAATAAATCAGACTTCTGAAACATGGAGTTCTGCAGATCCTCATCTCTTCCCATGTCGGGACTGCCTGCAAATTTCCACACCTATTCTGATAAAATGAAAATAAAGAGAGAATTCTTGCACAACAACAAGGATGTTCACATGTTAGCCCATTTGCTCTTCCTAATTGCACTGTGTTGTAGAAGCTGGATTTTTAGGCTAAGTAAGTAAATTATAAACTCAATTATAAATCCCTTATGTTTCCTTTTTCTCCAGGAATATACTTTTTCTTTGTAACAGCATCCATCCCATTGGCAGTGGACAGCTCACTCTTGGGGCAGAAGCAGCTTGCAAATGCAGTGCTTTGAAATCTGAAGCCGGCATTTCTCCTCTTGATGGGCTTCTCTCTAAATCCCAGCAGTTAACTCGACTGCAGTGGGCCCCTGAGCTGGGAAAGCCTCTGTCAGGATTGCCTTTGTGAGACTTCTCTTCTGCTCGCTGGTTTTTTTCACTGTGGATGTTTGGATTCAGGAATTAGCTGTCAAATGATTTGGATACTTAGAGGATGAAGAATGAGAACGCTTCTGCTTCAGTCCCTGCTTCCAGAAAAGTTTCACAGTGACCATTGTGCCTGTTCCTCACTAAATCTGGGCTCTGGCAACAGCAACATGTGTCTGTTACAGAAATCAGCATTGCTGCCACTCTCACTGCTCTGGGACAAAGCCTAATGCAACTTTCAGCTTTCCAAACCAATTCAGGACTGCTTTCACTATTAATCCCCAGATTAATAATTTTTAAAAATAGAGCTGCATTTCTTAATGAAAACCATGTTACCAAGTTGTTGCTGATGGCTCTTGGGAGCAAACCTCGTGTTTTATTTCAGGTTTCACCATCTGCACGGGAGACAGGAGGACGCTGGAAGTGAAGCTGTATCTGGTGGCTATGTGAGTTTATGACACCAAAGTGTATTTATCTGATGGGAATATGTGTTTACTTAACAACGAGCAGCTGCCAAATGGAGTGCTGTGGGTAATTGTGCTACAGATTTTAGCACTAATAAGGCAATAAGAGAGTAAGAAGGAACTTAACCCTCGCTGTGATGTTATCTCAGTCTCTCCCTCACACACAATTCTATTCCCATATATTCACCAAAAATCCTCTGTGTGACAAACAACTACAGAAATGCAAAATTCTGGGAGTATTTTTGGAAAGTGCACTGGGTTTTCCTTGGAAGGGAACACACTGTCCACTGATTCTGCCATTTCACAGAACCTGACAGTAACTCAACAGTGTAAAACAGAATTGTTTTCTGTTCTGCAGGTAAGAGGCAAAGGTGGTAGTAATATTCTTCAGGTTTTTTCTCTAGTCCCTCAGGCCATATAATAACACTGTTTTTCACATCTGTGTGAAAGAAAGTGCTCTGTGCTTCAGGTGATGCCATATTCCATAGAGTTCAAACACTCACAGACTGCTTTGGGCTGGCAGGGACCTTAAAGATGAACCCATCCCACCCCTTTGCCATGGGCAGGGACACCTTCCAATAGACCAGGCTCTTTCAAGTCCCTGAACACTTCCAAGGATGGGGCAGCGTGAGGGTGTTCACGGGGGTTCTTGGATGAGGGAAGAGATGAGGATCTGACTCCATGCTTCAGAAGGCTTGATTTATTGTTTTATTATTTATATTACATTAAAACTATACTAAAAGAATAGAAGAAAAGGTTTCATCAGAAGGCTGGCTAAGAATAGAAAAAGAATGATAACAAAAGTTTCTGTCTCGGTCAGAGCCAGCTGGGCTGTGATTGGCCATTAATTAGAAACAACCACATGAGACCAATCACAGATCCCCCTGTTGCATTCCACAGCAGAAGATAACCATTGTTATCTGCTGTTCCTGAGGCCTCTCAGCTCCTCAGGAGGAAAAATCCTAAGGAAAGGATTTTTCATAAAACATGTCTGTGACAGGGCAGTCACAGCTGCTCTGGGCAACCTGTCCCAGGGCCTCACCAGCCTCACAGGGAAAAATTTCTTTCCAATATCCCACCTAACCCTGCTCCTGGCACTAGGAAGCCAATGAGTGCCTTGTTCTGGCACTCTAGGCACTTGTCCAAAGTCTCTCTCCAGACTTTTGGAGCCTCTTTAG